CCAAAGGTACCTATAAAAAAAAAGCATCTTCCGTCTTAATGAGTTCTATACCGATCGATGGCTCGGACATCGCTCTTTCGAATGGTGAAACTCGCAGCTCTCTATCTCGTTCCTATCAAAAGTTATTCGAAAAATGGTAACTTGCCTTTTATTTTGGATCGGATAATACTTTAGTCAACTTTTCCTTTGAAACAGCTTGATATAGAGCAATTTGTGCCAAAGTCGTCGCCTTCGATAACGACAGTATCGAGGAATTTTCTCATATTGGACTCGAGTTCTCTTCTTGAAAATTTGCGAGAAAAAAATCAAATTTTTTAAGGAGGTTGCAAAAAGTTGTCGCTTCGCGAAAAATGATTACATTTTAGGTCCGCAGAAAAAGATTAACATCAGATCTGATGCGAAAAAAAATTTTGCTTCCCTCAACCTTGACTGCCTTGAAATCTCGTCACACCCCCCCCCCCCCCCCAATCTTGGGACCCTCGCGCGGGGCCTGACATTATCTCTTTCAATAATAGTGATATAAATAGAAAAAACATGATAATTAAAATCTCGGAATCCACCGGTACTTTTTGTAAGAAAATTTAATGAACTATGGATTCATCGTATGGAACGTAACACAATTATAGAAACCGATACTTAGTATCTAGGGTGTGGGTACTAGTGTTCTGTGAAAACGATTTTTCCCGTTCTATGTCTTGCAGAGATCGGGAATTCCGGTGAAGACTTCAGGAATGATATTAAAAACGCGCATTTTTGAAAATTGTTTTGTTCTATGTATCTACTCTCCGAACTTTGCTTTTTCAAAAAAAAAAAAAGTCGAAGTCAACACGATGTTACATTGTCAAGAAATTGATTCGGACACTCTTCCAAAGACTTTTGTATTGCTTATCGATTAAAAAACAAATAAAAAATACCTATCAACAAAAATTAGATAAGTTCATCCGTTATTCATTTGAATGTAATTAAATTATCAAAACTATTATTTTCTTGGTCCTTATCATCTTCTTCTCTTGAATGTTTTCGTTTTTTTTTCATGGGTGCTGTTGATCTGCTAGTATTTTTTTTCTCTTTTCAATCTGGCATCTCACCAACACTTTGTAAAAAAAAAGGAGAAAAAGAGGCATACAGTTTCGTCCGAAGAAAACTAAAACTCACTGGCACAATAGTACTATAAATCCGACAAAACTCGTGCGTTATCAATATAGGTTGAATATGACTTGAAAGAGTAAAAAAGAAACGAAACTTCGAATTGTTCATAGAGATTTTTCTGCAATTGCTTATGTATGCATTAGAAAACGGAAAAACATTAGAAAAAATAGACTATTCTATTTGCGTAGTATCTAACTATAATATTACTCTATTTAACTAAGTTGGCACACAGAAATAGAAACGATCAGAATTCATTAAACGTTTTTTTTTCTGCTTTTTGTTACTTTTTTCGGATGACTGTGGATATGAGAAAAGTATTTTTTCGTTTTTTCAATTTCCAGCAATTCTTCCATGATTTTGATCATTTTTCGCAAGTCAGTTTCACTTTTCTGTTTCCTAGCGTAAATTAGTACAGTGATTGCAATGGTGCCCAGACAGCGGGTTTCTAAGAAATCGTTTGACCCCATGCTATCGAAAACACTTGATTTTTCCCAGTGAAATATGGTCATCTTCCTGCGTTCTGTAGAAAGCGACTTATCTGTATTGGATAGATTGTATGATCCTCTACTTTTTGGTCAGTGGAACACCCCTATTTGTTGCTATCGCATTCCATCATATCCGATTTCTTCCAAGTATCATCAAACTATTGTCAATATTAATCCATGTCAATCAAACACGCTTGTAATTGGAGACATACAGTGTTTCACATCGCCCAGTATTGCGACCATATAACTCCGTCATCGTATACGCAGAAATACAATCGTTTATGGACAAACAAAGCTCGTCTGCGGCTTTCGTTTTACTCTGTATTTCGTCGTATACAATTATATTTCTCCGTGTACGGTTTAGAGATATACGATCGTCCGAAATGTGATTGTATACGGAGAAACTCGGAGGGAGAGGGATTACTTCATTTTGACAGTAAATCAATAGCGTAAGGTAAGCTAGCAATATACCACAGCATCTGTAATCAACTCAGTAATTTTGAAGGATCAGATATTGCCGGATACAACATAAAAAATTTTAACGATATCTGATAAGCAGAAATCTTTAACTTACGACATCATACTATCAGAAGTTATCTTGTCGAAGAAATCCTATCGAATCTGATAGGATTCTAGGATAGATCTAGCCACTCTGGAAACTTCTTCTTATTTTGACGCATACGTTACTCTACGAGTTAGCTATCTATTGTTAGATTCATATCACAAGCCATCCTGGAACTGAGAAAAAAGTGATCAAGAAAAGTAAGCCGATATTATCATTTTACATGTCGATCTTTACGAGAAAAACTTACCAAGATTGTGAGAGAATGATGAGTTCACATTGAAAATATAATTGAGTGATTTTGCCTCCACTAGAGAGCTATAAAAATTAGGTCCCAATTAGGAATATATAACATCGCTGAAGTTGATCACTAAAATCATATAATTTAGCTTCCTTAACTATACACCTCGACTGATCGACACATCAGTTTGTGTTATGTGATCTTTTCGTATGATATAGTAACATTAACTAATGACTAAAAAGAGGAATTTTAAAAGAAAAGAGGAAAAAGAGGCGGAGTGGGATGCCAGTTTTCAATTGATGAAGACAATAATCCTCTTAACTTAATGTTGATAAATTTCAATGTATAAATAATAATTGATTTATTTTACCAAAATGTACCATCGCTGATAATTTTATTTTTAATTTAAAGCCATGTGATGTTGCGCAAAGTGCGATGGTGATAGAAGCTAATATCTACTAATGATAGTTTTGCTTAAACAAGAAAAATAAAATCATAATAGGAATTCTGAAAGCATTACAGGGAACGAGAATTGAGAAAAGTCGTTCCCACAGGACACTACTTGTGAGTAGAAATGATAAAATTTTAGAATAAATACACTCGTATGGTGTTTACCATTTTTTAAAACATGTTGAATTGTATTTAGATCTAAGACAGTCCAAGTTCTAAAGTTTAGAATAGACTATTCAAAAGAATTATTCCAACACACCAAAACCAGTAGATATAACTGTTTTAAACATTACGATTCCTATCTAAAGCAATATTGAAAGAGTTTAATTTATAAGACTTAGAACTTTCAATAATTCTTAAGAACGAAACTGTGTCACACTTAATCGTATTATCTTCTCATGTATCTTGAGAATAATTCATACACAATGCTATAATTAAAGACGTGCATAGATATTATTAGCAGATATGTTTCTAAAATTATTTCATTTGCTTACTTAATTCCTAAACTAACGAAACAAACACCAGAAGTGCTTCATCACTTTTGAACACATGGTACAAACACATATAAGTCTTCTCGATAAAGTGATTAAAATTTTTCCACTGAATTTTTATTCTAGAAAGAAATAATGACAAGAAAATCGAACAAAGAATCTTTGAAATATTGTCTCTAACGAGGAAAGATCCCCAAGTGATAAATCGTTTTTTAAACTGCAACTATATTCAATCGATAGAGCCTAATGAGTAGATAAATACTCTAGAGTGATTCGAGCTGCTGGGCCTTTGTTGTTGAAATATTGACCATTTAGTAGATTTTTCCAGTAGGATCTCAGTTTTCAAGCGTAATCATACTTTTCAATTTTCATACGAAACATTATTCATACGAAGGTACCGATTAGACTTGCTTGTAGAAATCGGTGCCTTCGTATAAGCAATGTTTCAGATGAAAATTGAAAAATATGAGTGCGCTTGAAAACTAGAATCCTATAGGAAAAATCTACTAAACATTCGAAACCTCAGAGACAAAGATTCAGCAGTTCGAAATGCATCTTTCCTCATCAGAGACAATATTTCAAAGATTCTTTGTTCAATTTTCTTGTCAATACTTCATCCTAGAATAATAATTCAGCTAAAATCATCATCATTCTATCGAGAAGACCAATATGTGTCTTAAGTATGTGGTGAAAAGTAATGAATTATTTTGTATAATTCGCTTGTAAGCACATCGAAAATATAAATATATTTCTTCTTTTCAAATATGATCCATTTTTATTTTTCCACAATAACAATAACGAAAAGAAAAAAAAAAATGTTCAGAATATTTCTTTTTTTTCTATTCATCCTTTTTTGCTTTTGATTTTCGAACATCTTTTTTTGGTGATTTTACTGATGAAGCATTTTTATTTATTGTTGTTTCTTTATTATTTGAATCTATTGGTTTTTGCCATTCAACTGGATTATTACGATACATTGGCCATGGTGGTAATGTTAACTATATATAGAAAGAAATTATTTATTCTATTCATAATTTAAATAAACATACTAAAGCAGAAACCAAAACTCCAAAAAGAACACTATACATAGTCATACTAAATTGTTGCATCATATAACCAGCAAGAAAACCAACAATCTATAATCAAAAAAAAAAAAAAAATATTAGATTAAATAAAAATAAATATAGAATAAAAATTCTTACGCCAAATAAAATAATAATAACTTGAAAAAGTCTTTCAGCCATTTTTTGACCACGAAAATCCTTTAAAAATAGAAAAACTTAAAGATTAATTAAAATAATTTAAGCACTTTTTTTTTACCATATGTGTTGGAAATGGCCATTGGATATCAAGCATTTTTGTAAGTAAAATCAATCGAAAACGTTATAATTCAAATGCCTACCACTAGAATTATTTGATTAAGTGACACGACATCGATCCAGATGGTTGGTCCATATCATCAAAATCTTGAGGTCGCTGCTATCTGTTTATTTTTTTTTAGTCTATGTTAGAGGTGGTATCGATGGTAGAATACACGAGTATGGCTAAAAATCCCGATGATTCATGATTTTATTTTATATTGACGTCAATAATCTCTTGTATTTTTAGTTTAATTTGAATAAATGGAGAAATACAATAAACTAAAATTAATCGGTTCTGGAGCTTTTGGTCAAGCATGGCTTGTTCAACCGAAAGAAGAAGAAAAAAAATTCGTTATGAAAGAAATAAAAATTGCTAAAGTAAATTTTTATTTATTTAATTGAAATTCTCGTTTTTTTTTTTTGGAATAGATGGTCAAAAAAGAACGTGATGATGCACGAAAAGAAGTATATTATTAAATTAAGAAAAGAAAAAAATTTTTCAAATTTCAATTAACGTTTTTTTTTTGTCTCTCAGGTTAAAGTTCTCAGTGAAATGAAACATCCATATATTGTTTCATATATCGATTCATTTGAAGGTATTTAATTAATAAAATATTGATATGTTTTATTTTATTTTTTTTCTAATTAAGATCCAGTAAGTTTATTTATCATAATGGATTATTGTGATGGTGGTGATTTACATTCACGTGTACAAGCTCAACGTGGAATTTTATTTAATGAAGATCAAATACTTGATTGGTTTGTACAAATAACTCTTGCACTTAAACATGTTCATGATAGAAAAGTACTTCATCGTGATATTAAATCACAAGTAAATAATGAAAATAGAACGAAAAAAAAAAACAATTTTCATATGAAATTTTTATTTCAGAATGTTTTTCTAACACGTGATGGTTCAGCAAAATTAGGCGATTTTGGAATCTCAAAAGTTTTAAATGCGTAATGAATTTGAAATTTCTTTTTTTTAATTTATTTTGAATTGATTTTCGCTTTTTTGTATAGTACATGTGATTTTGCACGTACACAAATAGGTACACCTTATTATTTATCACCTGAAATTTGTCAACAAAAACCATATAATAATAAATCAGATGTTTGGAGTCTTGGTTGTGTTTTATATGAAGTAACTACTCTTAAACATGCTGTAAGAAATTATATAATATAAAATTTATATAAAATTATTTTTCTTTTATAGTTTGATGCTAATAATATGAATGGTCTTGTTATGAAAATTATTCGGTAATAATTGATATTTTATACAAAACTAAAAAAACAAAATTTAATTTCTTTCATTTTTTTTTTGTAGTGGTTCATTTAATCCTATTCCACCGAAATTTAGTGGTGATTTACGAACTTTAATAGCATCTATGCTTAAACGAGAACCTCGGTATAATGATAAATTAGAACATTAATTGAGTTTTGTTTTTTTTTCTGCTTAAGACTACTGCAATTTGGTTTTTTTATTTTCGAGATTTGATATATAGTGAGAAAGTACGAGATATCATTGCGAAACATTGAAATCTTTATTTTTAACAAAATAGAAAATAACATTTAATCAGATTTAAGAAATAAACTATAAGTATGAAAAATTCAAACTATTTTTTCGAACTTTCAGTCATCAACATAGATATGTCGGTTAGTAGAGAAAAGATTTACACTTACACTCACACTCAAGAAGAGCAGTACGAATAAGAGTTATCATTTATATACACATCTACTACGATGAATCATCGTTAGACATAACAATCAAATCTCCTCAAGCAAAAAAAGTTCGCTGAAATTTACTTTTGCTTATGTTTTTCGCTGAACGGACACTATATCAAGTACAGACTTCGCTTGACATATTAATGATGAATAATACATAAAGTTCAGTAGGGAGTAGAATACTACATGGGTACAAATTTTCGTACCCGTACTCTACCCGTAAATTTCATACTCAAATTTTATTCGTACCGTAGTCATAATCAAAATTCAGAAAATCAATTCACTATTTTACTTAGCTTGAATGGATCAGAATAAAATAATAATATTTATATGATGACGATAACCAATTACGAAAAACTACAGGAGTAATATGCCAGGAAATAATAAGAGTCATAGTCTCTAGCGTTCGTTCAGTTTTGCTAAATATTCTTTCATTCGTTGTCGAAATACATAATGAAACCATAGCTAAATGAGATAGTTGTTTATAAACAACTGAATAAGTTTACTATCACTTTAACATTTTAGAATCTTTTTGACAAAAAAAAAAATTCTTTTTCATGCAGTTATGTATTTCATCGAATCCATAGAAATCGATATCCTTGGAATGCGTCATCATTTTTTCGATTGAATGAGCTCAATAGGTCGTCGATAGTAGGTAGATTGATACGTGGGTAAAAAATTTTGTACCCGTACTCTACCTGTATGGATATGCGGGTATCCGGTCCATGGGCTGCAGGTCCTTTCAGACTCAAGTCCGAGTCTACAAAAACGTAGACGTTCAACTCCCGAGATTGATTGCATGGAACATATTCATGCTTAATCTTGTGTGCATAAATACAACTAAAACTATTCCATATAGCTGTGATACTGTTGGTTTGACGAATTTTGTTTGTGAATTAACTGTTCACTTTCAATTTTTTTGCTAATATAATGCTCTTTTTAATTAAGCGAAAAGTTTTAATTTCTTACGAATCAAGTGATAGGAGAATGAACAACAAGAAATAACTATACATTGATTTTTTATCTTACTTAGAGTAGCCAATAAATAGCTAAAATTTTGATTCTTCACTTAGTCATATAAATATCGGATATCGGGCTCGAAAATCCAGATCCATAAAAACGTGGACTCACAGCTTCCTGAAGTTTAGAGAAAAAAAAACTATATATCCGAAAAAAAAGGATCAAATATTCTTGTTTTTACAATGTACAATAAGAATATATCGAGTTTTTGTCTTCCTATTTTTTTTGTATATATGAATATATATTTTAAAAAAAAGCATCAGTAGTCTTAAGCAAGAAAAACCAAGAAGAAAAATTCAATTAAAGCGTATTGCACATAAGTTTCGATTTCTATTACTATATAGCGAACGTCCATCTGTTAATACAATTTTACGAAAACAATTCATCTATCGACGTATTCCAAAATATTTAGCAGAAGAAGTATAGTTCTCTTATTAACGATTATTTGGTTTTCATTTTCGATATGATATAGGTACATCAAGCTGAATTTAATCATACTGTTTTACATGGTCAAAGATTATCTGTTGATCTTGCGCATCCAAATCCACCGCCAATATCTCGTCCATCGGGAGTTCCAAAAGCAAATGTTATGCCTCCTCCTCCTGCACCAGTTTCGGCTCGTCCAAATTCGGTAGCATCAAAAGCATCACCTTACGAACCGATGAAGGCATATGGAGGTGCATCACCTATGAAACGTCCAGTCTCCGCAAATCCTACTGCTGCCAATCGGTTTGTTAACAAAAATGATAATTGATAATTTCAAAGTTATGAATTTTCTTTTTTTCAGGGGATCACAAGAGAGAAAGTTGAATGAAGCTAATCGAAAATCGATTATATCTGCTGATAAAGAAAGTGAGATAGACAAACGACGTAAAGAACCTGCCAAACAAAAAGAAGCACGAGAAAAACAAGTTAAAGAAGAAGTAAGTTTAAACAAACAAACAAACAAACACTCTTGTTATAAAACTTACGTATATATATATATATATATATTAGGAAGAGAATTTAGCAAAAAAACAAAAAGAATTAATTGAAAAAGGGAAACAAGCACTTATCGATCGTGATCGAGAACGTAGTCGTTTGCTGTTAAGTCATAGTACTCCGGTAAGAGTGTTATTATCTGTATATATGTATCGATTTTGTTCTTATAGGATCTACCAGGCATAAGTAACCAACGTGCTACACCACCAGTAGTCCTACAGCCTAAAATGAATCAAGTATCTACTCCTTCATCAGCTAGAGAACCAGTATGTTAATTCGTCTAATATCATATTTTATTTACTTTCTTTTAAACGAAATAAAGGTTGCAGCATCACCGATTCCTAATGTAGCAAAAGCAGGTAATTATGATCAATATCATGAACTATTAGATCAACATAAGCAGAAAATGGCTGATGGAGAGAGGAATATGGATCAATGGAATAAAAGTATATATGTACAGAATATCCTCAAAATCACGATTACATTTTAAATACGTATAACTTCATTATTAATTAAGCTTAGTCAAATATTTTCATTGTATCGATTATGAAAATTTTTGCAATGATAGGAATAAATTATTTTCGAAAACAGTATCAGTTAGTCAATCTTTTCAAAAACTATTTCACAAATACTATTCAAACAGTCGTAAGAGATATATGAATGATTTAAAATCTCCATCATAGCCATATAAACTGAAGTCAATAAAGAAAATAGAAACTTTATATATTCTATTATGATACTGAATAAATGCAAAATTTTTATATTGACAGCCGGTTATTATGATCTTTGAAGAGTACTTATATATTTTATCTATAAGATTAAAAGCTTATAGCCAAACTAAAACAGCTTAGAATTGGTATTTACATATTAGACCAAAAGATAACGATAGTGAAGTCATTTAAGTACTTTGGATCTGTCTAGATTAGTAAAAATACTGACTGTCAACACATGCTTCTCTAAAGAATCATTGAGACAATGTTTCTTTGTTTACATCTTTCTTCATTTTGCCTAGGTTTTCTCCTTGCTTCTCCAAACTCAGCAAGAAGCATTTGAAAGAAAGTTTAGAATAGTGGTTCGTTTAGTTCACTATGCTTCATTCGTAGGTGTGGTGGATCTATTCTTACTCCAATAGAGTCATACCTGCTCTTCTCTCCATAGCACTATTCTCCAGGAAACAGCTTAGTTCATTTGTATAAAATAGATGTATGACCTTTTGATCTTCTTTTTCTGTGGGACCGATTTCATACACTATGTTTCTTTATTACACTGTTTGTCTCCTCATTTTCTTTCGTTGCTATCTTTAGATTTATCATTATGTTTCTTGTAAGTATTTACGCATGTTACAATAAAATAGAACATAACACTAAAAAATTAAAAAACTTACAACTTTCTTCTCTTAGATAAAAAATATTGGATTAAGCTTGATTAATTTATAGAATTATACGTATTTTACATATTAGTGATGACTTCTGAAACAGCACTATGTAGTTATTAGAGATCTATTTTTTGAAAATCTTACATTTTAGTTAATCAACTTCAAAAACCTAATCCTCACGTTCAAGTATATCGAACACCAGTTGCCGGTAATCAAAATTTACGTCCAACACCAGGGTAAATATTTATGAAAATTAAAGTTTTGTCTGGTGATATTTATTTTTTTCTTATGCATTACATTTGCTCTCGATTTATTATAGTTTACAGAGTTAAAAGTTTATTTTCAGTTTTTAATATGTAAACGTGATAAATGTTGACTATCAGATAGTATGAATATTTTTGTAATATACTTAATCAGATCAGTAACATAATCCTAATAATTGTCTCTTTCTTTTTGGAACACAATGAATGCTTCGTTCAAAAAAATAATTACAATATTTCCTAAATTTCTATAATTTTTGACTAGTAAAAATAAGATGATTTATTTTTCTACCGGCAGATTCAATAGTCCAATATCTTTTTGCTACAGGTAATACTAGCTGTAGCTCTGAGGAGAAGGACGTAGAATTCTTGTGCTCATCATACATACCATTTTCAGGATTATTCCATGGTTGGTGGCATTGAGGTTCGAATGTAGTACCTTGAGATATACGTTGAACAGTGCAGCCACTCAGCCGTCGCGGTAGCCCTGAATAGAACAGACAATATGTTGTATAAGGACATAACCTTTAAAATGAACTTATAAATCCCAAGAAGCGATGAATCAAAATAAAATTTGTAATTATTTTAGTGCAAATGTTGGTCGACCAGCAGCACTAAGAAATGAATATCTAGAAAATAAACGTCAAGCTCAAGCGAACAAAGCTCGTGGACAAGGTTACGGTGCGGTAAGATATTTTTCACGCTGTTTACTTCCTTCTAAAATAATTAACTTTAGGGAGCAGCTGCTGCTATTAATCCTAATGTTGGTGGTGTTGGTCAAGTAGCTGCTGAAGTGAATCGAAATCTTGAAGAAGTTCGTCGAAAAAATCTTTTAGGTAAACCAGAAGCAATTGGAAAACCTCCGGCTGCATTGAAAAAATTACCTATAAATAAAGTAATTATGATTTATTGATTAGAATCTTTTATTTTATTTTATTTTATTTTTCTTATTTATTTAGCCAACTAGTAATAATCAAGTCGATGAAAAATATCGTTCAGCTTACGATCAACAAGTTGTTCTAGCTCAAAAAGAAAAAGAAGTAAATATTTACAAAAAAAAAAAAAAAAAAAAAAAAAAGAAAAGTAAATGTGTCACTTTTTCTTTCTGCTTATTTAACAGAAACAAGGTCAAGAAGCTTTAAAAAAAATAGAACCAGTCAATAATAAGCTGACCGAAGTATTAAATGATATTGGTGTTCGACCATCTTCTAGGTTAGTTGTAATCAAATTTTTAAACTATTTCTTTTTACAAACAAAATGTTTTCATTCTAGTTTGGATCAAGAGAAAAAGAAAGCTATTTTACAAAATGTTAATGAACGAAGTGTTCGAGAAGCTTGGCAAGAACATGGCGGCCCACCAAAATCTCGTTCACAATGGAATCAACAACCAGCGCTAAATTCAGCAATTCTTAATCGTCAATCTATAATGATTGATACATGTTTAACTGATTTAAATGTTCAAGGACAAGCAATAAATATAGGCAATGTAAATACACCTAATCGATCACAATGGGGTAGTGGACCACGAGGTACAATTATTAATGCACTTGAACATGCGAATGTTTATGATCATACAATGTCAAGTACAATGAACACTGAAACATCGAATATTAATTTAACAGCATTAGCAAATCGAGTTAATCCAAATAGAAAAAATGAAACTTATATTATAAGTAGTACAAAATCAGTTACTTCTTCTAATCCTACAATTGATATATCAAAAAAACCGACCATAGAAAATGATTTAGTTGTAGAAGAATTGAAAGAAACATTAAAATCTCAATCGAAACAAGACAAAGAATTAAAGTAAGAAAAAAAAAACTTAACATTGATTATTCTATTATTTAATTTTAAAATAGAACTAAAATAATACCAGACAAAGACGAACTCGTTCAATGTTTAACAACAGGACGTTTTGATGCTAAGAATAAACGAGTAAGAGTAATTTAATTCATAATATAACAATTATTATCTATAAAACAATACTTATCTCTTATGATATCGAATTAGGAATGAACACAGTCAGTCGCTTTTGATCTCTATCTCGGAATCATTTTCTCAATATTTATATCACACAGACTCTTCGTATGATCTCAAGAAGAAAGGCAAACATATAGATCGAACACTCTTTGAACTGTAGCATATATTTATAAGCATAATATCAATGTATATGTTTGAATGTTAAAATAGACCATAGGTCTCGATGTGGTGTAAACTAGTTCCTTCTACTTTTTACGTCGCGTCTGCGAAAATTTCAAGTCATTACTGGAAAACTATCTAGCAAATTTCTGAAGACAGTTTTTTTGAGTCATTTCTATTAGACAGACTATCAAATTTTGAGCTCCTTCCATTTCTAAAAACTATCGAGAGTCCTAGAGTAGGCAATGGGACAGTTGCACATTTTCCTTCTACAAATCATAAGAATATTGTAGATTATCTTAAACAGAATGACGAAAATTTCGTTCATTGTTAATTAAAATCTTAGTATGATAATGATAAGTCAAAAATTCTTAACCCTAATCAAGATCTACTGTTGCTATAATACGTTATTATAACTTGCTCACTACGTAAATCGGAAGGTTCACATTTATTAGTAATCAGAACTGTTAGTTGAATATAGTCTTGTTGAATTATTCTATTATTATTAGCGTTATATTAATAAATTAAATTTTTTGTTTAGCTTCTTCGTACAGTTTCAAATCCTGAATTACATAAAATTGATGAATTACCTGAAGAAACATTGATTGAATCAAGAAAATTAAATCGAAGTTTAACTGATATTATTCAATCATCTCAAGAACCATCATTTTCAAGTAATACAAAGAAAACGAATATAACTAAGAATAGTAATGATTCAAATACAATTGATGAAAAAACAGAATCTGATGATGAAGATGATATACATACATTAACATTAGCTTTACAAAGCTATTTAGATGATGATGATGATGATGATGAAAATGAAAATGAAATAAAACATTCAGCAAGTGAACCTGTGATAAAAACAGATAAATCAAAAGAATTAATAATACAAAATGATGATTATAATGATGATGATGATATTTGGTGTAATCAAGAAGATGAAGATAATCTTGAACATCGTGTTCAACTTGATCGAGAAAAAGAAAAACACTTACGTGAAGTTCTTGGTGATGAAACATTAGAAATCGTTCGTGAAGCACTTAAAGTATAGAAATTTTTAAACATATTTCATATATGAAAATTTTTTCTGCTGGCTTGTTTTTTTCTTTATTTATTTTAGAAAAATGAAGGAGATACACAAACTTTATGTAGTCTTTTACCAGAAGATAAACGTTATTTAGTTGATACAGATATTTTATTAACATTGATTACAATGAACGCACGATCTATGTCAAAATAAATATCTGCAATAAGCTGGA